GTAAAATGTAAAAGAGGAAGTTTTGTATATGAGAAAATATTTATGTAAAAGGAAAAAGAAAAAAATAAATATATCTATTTTTTAGTATTTTGAAACTTAGGGTAAAAAACCCTAATTTTTATATAAAAAGTATTATTATCTAATTAAATTCTACTATTTGTTTATTATGTAAAAAAAATAAAATAAAATGAAGTATTTTGTGAAAAAGGCATTTTTGTATCAAATATTAATAAAAATGAAGAAAATCAAGTATTATATTTTTATCTTAAATATATTAATAAACATGTATATATATATATATTAAACCCTAAATGAGTATTATACAAAATAAATATTTATTTAATATTTTAATAAAATAAATAAAAGTATTTTTTGTGTGAAATATTTTCAGAGAGTAAAAATAAAAATAAAAATGTATCTACATTATTTTCTATTTATTTTAATAATAGTATATATATATATTTGTACATAAATAAAAGAAATAAACAAACAAATATGCCATAAATACAAAAATGATGGAAAAAAATATTTTAAAAATTTTAATGGCATGAGAAAAAATAAACAAAGTCAACCCAAAAAGAAAAAGTCAAAAATGTTGAAAAATAAACAAATGGGCTCAGGGGGGTGTAAACCAAAAAGGATGGTGTGAAAAGAAAGAATAACAACAGCCCAGCCCAATAACACACTGTCTTCAACCTCCAGCTTCAAACTTTGAAAAAACGCGCGCCTCTTGCTTCAATGTCTAACTCCTGATTCCTTGATTTTTTGAACAAACTTCCAACACAAAAGATGTTAAGCATGAAGAGACGGTTCTAACCATATAAAGAACATGTCCTATCTCTCTAAGATGAGGGAGAATTTCTCTCCCCCTCTTTCCTGACCTAATTTTTCTACCATTTTCAGAGCTAAAATTCTCTTCACTCAGACAAAAGAAATGAAAAGTAAAGCTATGTACATGTTCAGGGCTATGAGTAGGACTTTGTTTCTTCACAAACTTAAGACTAAAGATGCCTAATAAGAGAGATACGAATTCAAACTTTTACCTGTGCAGTTGAACTTCTATGTGGAGAATGAGAGACTTTCAGTGCAATGTAATGATTGGAAAAGCTTCCTTGAAGTCCAGGGATGCTTTTTCAATGCTCACTTTGTCTTGAAACTTCTTGTATCAAGCTATAGAACTTCACCTGCAAGTCAAAGATGTGAAAATGGTGGAAGTGGTTAGAGCAACTACAGATCGTGCCTTAGCTTCTGGATAGCTTGCATATGTTGTAAGGAAGGTAGAGGAACAGGTTTGGACAGAAATGCTTGAAGGGATTGAGAGATTGCACTCAAACTGCAGGGGCACCCCTGTTTGTGCAGTTTGAGGATGATTCTGAGATGGAGGGTGTTTGAAAGGGAAATGGCTCGTGCAAAAGCTTCAATGTGGTCTATGGAATGTGTTTGATATCTTTTGTGCTGTGTTGTTTTGCTGATATGAGAGATAGCATATGTTATGGACCTTTCTTCATACTTAAGCTACCAAAAGCAAATTGGTGTTCTAGGTCAGTATAGGACCCCCTAATGTGCTGCATCAACTCCTCTTGATCAGTGTGTTATGCCCATAATCTTGTGTTAGGCAGATCTTCTTTGTACTTGTTGGATTACAAACTTGACATAAAGCTAAACTTTTCAAAAATGGAAATTCCACTTTATCTAGTTTAGGATTAAACCATTATGCAATGTTAGAACACAAAGAACATGACCTTAACACATTGAATATGCATTAAATTATTGAGTATGGATTGGTTCAAGGACCTGTAATTAAGCATAAAGCAAACTGAATTCAAATTTGCAAATTTGTGAACATGTCTTGATGAAGAACAAAAGTGAATTTTTGCCAACTTGTGAAATTCGAATCTCTCAAGTTATGAGGTTGTTTGATGAGTTCTTGGACATTTTGGAAAGCTTGGAATGTGTACTACAATCCATCTTTGAAATGCAATTTGAAATTCCAAGTGGAAGGGTATGAAAAGTGGCCTTGAAGTAGGGTAGAAAACCTTGTCAAAATAGGTCAAATTTCACTAAGTTAAAAGATGGTTTAGTGCCCTTATTCAAAAAATCATAACTTGAGATATAAGCTTCAAATGAGAAAACTTTGTGAATCAAAGTTGTAGATTTTGCAACAAGCTACAACTTTCATGTTTTGACTTTTGTTTGAATCCCAATGGATCATGGTGAAAAGATGGGGCAAAGTTGGGAAAAAATTAGGGTTTTCCATAACTTAGAAAAATTCTAAGTTATGAAAAATTCCATTTTCAAACCCTAATTTGCATTTTGTGATTTCTTGGTGAACAAGTTTCATGACTTGGCATGTTTTGATGAAAAATGAATCTTGACTTTTGATTTTGACCAAAAGGTCAAAGTTTGACTTTTCAGTATACAGTCAAAATGGATCAATTGACTGGGAAAAACTTGGAATCAAGACTTGAAACTTGGTATGGATAAACTTGGGAGTCCAATATGAAGCATGAAAGTCATCTTAGGCATTTTAGGTCAAAACATCTTTAGGCAAACACAAACCCTAATTTGAGTCCACAGTGCAAGGAGAAGTCTTGAGCAGAGGAAACCCTAATTGGACCTTGATCTTTAAATGTCTTGTGATGAGAAAATGTTGAGGAAATGGGAGGGCAAATTTTGGGGTACAACAACAGGTTCACGACACACATAAGTTTTATTAGAAGTCAGTTCGACCTGGTCATTCATTTGTTATTTTGTTGCTTTATGTTGATGATATTCTCATAGCAAGCAACAATGTCGAAAATGTAATGAGGGTGAAGGCTGAACTCAATAAGGAGTTCGATATGAAGGATCTGGGAGCTGCATACAGGATTCTTGGGATTGACATTCAAAGAGATAGGAAGCAGTCGAAAGTGTGCCTATCTCAAGAGGCATACCTACGGAAGATTCTTGAAAAGTTTGGTATGTCGAATTCAAATCCTGTTGTGACTCCAACAAACCCTCAATTCAAGCTGAGTATAAATCAGTGTCCTAGTAATGAGATCGAAAGAGCTTATATGAATAACATCCCATATGCGAATATAATAGGTTCTATGATGTATGTTATGGTATGTACTAGACCTGACATAGCATATGCAGTAAGCCTTGTAAGTAGGTACATGACAAATCCTAGAAAGGATCACTGGAAAGCATTGAAGTGGATTCTAAGGTACATAAATGAGTCTCTAAATAGAGTCTTAATTTATGGTGGAGCCTTAGGTGAAGATAATAAAGTAGTAATCGAAATGTATGTCGACTCTGATTATTCATGTTGTATGGATTCTAGAAAATCTATTTCTGGATATGTTTCACTATGTTTGGTACATCGATCAGTTGGAAAGTGACACTTCAGAAGGTTGTTGCTTTATCAACTACTGAAGCAGAATATATTGCCTTAACTGAAACTGTGAAAGAAGCATTGTGGCTAGAAGGTTTTGCTAAGGAGCTAAAACTTCAAGGTTAAGTTATCACTGTTAAATGTGATAGTCAAAGTGCAATACACATGTCGAAGAATTCAGCCTATCATGAGTGAACCAAGCACATTGATGTGAGGCTGCATTTTATCAGAGGAGTAATCGAGCATGGAGAAGTTCAAGTGCTGAAGGTTTTGATAGATCACAATGCTGCTGATATGATCACCAAGACATTGCCAAGTTACAAGTTTTTCCACTGTATGCAGTTGATAAAGTTGCATGAAGAAAGCTAATTTGTTCTTTGATATTAGAGTTTGTTCCAAGGTGGAGATTTGTGAGATATTGGATCGAACTCTATTGAGTTGAAGAGTAGCTTCTGGTTCGACAGAATTTATGCATGTCGTCGAAGCATGTTCACATGCTGGTGTTAAAGACCCACATACTGTAGTCGAACCGTGTTATAGTATGTGGGTGTCTAAATGCTAGGATTGTTAGTATTTTGAGTTGGGCTTGTTTGTTATGTCCAATTATTTAAGTTAGCTTGTACCTTAAATTAGCTTGTAATGGATATTTGTGAAAAAGACCATTAGTTTAGTATGTTAGGTTTATTATAAATAGTATACTAGTCTCTCATCATTGCATACTGCAAATCTTAATTTAGAGTGAGAGGGTTATTTGTTATTCTTGAGTACTTGTAATCTGATTTAAAGAGAAAGTAAAGAATAACAGTTATAACCAATCCTTGTTGTTCTTGTTTTTTCATTCTTTTCTATCCTTGTGGATTTCTTGTCTTAAAGAACCATGTTATACTTTGTTCCAAATGTATCATATTTCATAACATTATTATACACGTCTACCCTCATTATTTGGTAAACCACGAGGTTGCACGCTTTTCACAAGGGTAGGCTTTACGATTCCTAACTTATGTCAATGTATTTTCTCTAAACTGTAGAAATAATCAAACTATGAATGAAGCAAAGAATTTATAATCATGCTATTTTTCAGAGATAGTTATGCATTAATTATGAATGAAACATTAAAGAGAACAAAACTTTTTTGACGCCATTTGATCTCTGAATTTTTATAGTAACCTATTATTGATGGTTCTATGCATTTTCAACCTTTTTAGATCATTATATAAATCATATGCAGACAAACTTTCTCTGAGAATATCTTTTAAAATTTTCTAAAAAAATCGACACTTAATCATAAAAATAATTTAAAACAAACAATTATCGATTAGTTTGGATCATCCATGCATTCCACTCCCTATAGAAAATATTTATATGTCCTCAAACAAAAAATATTTGACTGTTAACAAAAATATCCTCGCCCAACCCCAAATTCGTTGCTTAGCCAGTATGTGTGACCAAACTGCACTAAAAATATTAATAATAAATATTTTAAAATAATAATAATAATAATAATAATAAATTTAATAAAATTGAACGAAAAGGAACCCAGCCTCCGTTGTTATAAGCCACTGAACTGAAAAAAAGAGAAGAAGAAAGCTTCTCTTTCTTAGCCGTTGCTGCCTCTATCCCCGAAAACATGAAACCCCCTTCCACTCTCTTCCTCAAAACCCAAATCCCTTCTTCCATTTCACTCTTCTCATCTTCCAGAGGTACACTCTCCTCAAACCCTCCTCTTCCGTTTTTCAAATCCCCGTTTTCGATTCCAAATAGTTCTTCCTTTTTTTCTTCATTTTCGCATAGCATTTTCAATTTCACCCTGTGTATAGTTTGATTATAATTAGGGTAAGTACACAATAATGCAGGAACGTCCAGTGCTAAATTGTGCTTCTGTAGGAGTATTCAAACTAGTTCATATGAAGTTGCTAAAGGAAGTTACGTTCCTACTCCCAATGTGGATTTGACAAACGAAAATATTATAGTGGTATGTGTTGCTTTTGTGCAACTTTATTCGAATTTGTTGAACTTGTGGAATACTGATTGAATCAATTTTGAACATAGAAATAGATTAACAAATGGCATGGCCACTCGATGTTATGCATTCAATATGTTTTTCTTGTTTATCTATATCTGTAGCACCGACACCTCTAAAAAAAGTGTGTCTGAGTCAGTGTCTGAAACCAGGTGATTTGGTTTAGTTTATCTATTTATATTCTTTGAGAAACAGTGTTCAAAGTTCAAACTATTGGTAAATTCATGATATGATGTTATTGATAAGGGGACATCGTTTCTTTTGTTGTTTGGTAGCTCAGTGGAATGTTTTGTTGAGAGAACTGAGCGAGGAAACTAGGCCAAATGCTGAGTTCATAAAATGCTTTCAACTTACCGGCTCTGCGTTTTGGAGGGTTTGTGCCATGCCCGTGATTGGTTGAATCTAGAGCTGTCTTACTAGGTCAGTAGGCCAACAGGGGAAAGAGGATCGAGTATGTGTCCTCACATCCACATGGAACCTCCCATGCTAGAACGTCTCCCCTCACGCTTAGTGTAGTCAATATCGAGTGTTGGATCAGAAGATCTTACGTGCTAAGGATGCCTTAGAGTGCTACTATAAGAGAAATATTGTTTTCGTTGCTAGTGTGGTCAAGATCGAGCTTTTAGAAGCAAGAACATAAAAAAAATTGTTGGGCATTACCATTTTTCCCTTCGATAGGATCTTATGTACCGTGCTAACGGTCCGAGTTTTACGATCTTTCACAAGCTGAGCGATCCTACTTAAGATCTCGTGCTTGACTTGCTCACACTTCTATACATTTATGCAATCATTGGATTTAGAATATATCTTGGGATCTGAGAGATTTTTTTAGTTTACGGACCTTGCCCCAAAATGGGTTTGCTATTAGGGTTTAGGGAGTATTTAAACACCTGATGTGCAAGGGGCAGAAAAAAACACATATTGAACAGACCTAGAGTTCTGGCCTTGGTGACTGATTTTGGGATCATCAGAGTAGACCTAGGGTTCACATACGTGAACAATCACATATATAAATAACATGAATGGGAAATTATAAATTAAGACCTTATAAAGCTTATATAACATTAACTCCTTGATACTTGTTCTTGCTCTTTCGAAACTCTGCCCCATTATCATGTTATTTCAACAATTTTTAAGTTTCCTTTAGACTTTGGATGACCGAACCTTTTAGGAAATTTGGTGAATAATTGATTTATGGCATTACTTTGAACACTTGGGAATATAATAGAACAAGACTAACAAACACTTGATTGAGAGAACACTGGAACTAATAGAAGTTAGTTTGGTTAAAGGAAGTAGAGGAAGATTGGAGAAAACTAGGAGAACAGACATAAAAAACCTTGCTCTATATGATTAATTGGAAATTTGGTTTTTGATAGAAATAAGTAGCATTGTTTGATCCTTGAAACTGATCTCACCTAACGAGAGGAAGTTTTGTTTTTGTTGTCTGTTTCTTTTCTTGTGTTGATGTATACTGACTGGGGAATGTGGATAATCAAAGGGGTATTGTTGCCTCATATGGACATTATGCTGAAACAGAAAGAGATTGATGAAGCAATACTTACTGGACAGTGAAGAAAAACAGAGAAGAAGGAAGGATGCTTTTGGACATTGTTAAAGACAGAGAGAAAATATGTATGAATGTGCTTGAGATACATTGCACTTAGCATAAGTTTAATTTATAATCATTTTGTTACAACTTACAAGGATAATAATGTGCAGCTTACAAGAAAGGAATTAAAATAATACATAGAACTTAGTATGCAATGAATTGACTACTTGGAAAATGTAGAATTAATGCAGAATTAATTATTTTAATTTCAACACTCCCCCTCAAGCTGGTGAATAGGTATTCTCCATTCCCAGCTTGGACACAATTTTTTCAAAATTTGGGCAACTCAATCCTTTGGTGAAAACATCCGCAAGTTGACCTTGTGAAGGAACATAAGGAGTGCAAATCAAACCACAATCAAGCTTCTCTTTAATAAAATGTTTATCCACTTCAATGTGTTTTGTTCGGTCATGTTGAACTGGGTTGTGAGCTATACTAATTGCTGACTTATTATCACAAAAGAGCTTCATAGGTCCATCCCATTTAATCTTCAAATCCTCTAAAATAATCTTCAACCAAAGTAATTCACAAATATCTTGTGCCATAGCCCGAAACTCAGCTTCAGCATTGGATCGGGTCACAACATTCTGCTTTTAACTTATCCAAGTTACAAGATTTCCTCTGAAAAATGTACAATACCCTGTAGTTGACCTCCGATCAGTAGCCGAACCCGCATAATCAGCATCTGTATATGTCTCAATAGTAGCACTTCCATTCCTTTTGAACAAAATCCCTTTTCCTGAAGTTCCTTTGAGATATTGTAAAATTCTATGAACTGCAAGTAAAATGAACTTTCTTTGGATTGTGCATAAATTGACTAACCACACTTACAGGAAATGCAATATCTGGCCTAGTGTGGGAAAGGTAAATTAATCTCCCAACCAGTCTTTGATACATTTCCTTATACACTACCGCACCGTCTTCCACATTACCCAACTTATGGCTTGGATCAATAGGACTGTCCACAGGTTTGCAAGCAAGCTTACCTGTTTCCTTGAGCAAATCTATGATATACTTTTGTTGAGATATGAAAATACCATTTTTTGAGTGAGCCACTTCTATTCTTAAAAAATACTTCAGCCTTCCAAGGGTTTTAATTTCAAACTCTTTTGTTAAATGTTGAGTCAAGACTTGTTGTTCCTTCCAATCATTTTCTGTCACAATAATGTCATCAACATATACCAACAACACTGTTACTCTATGAAATAGTGTCTAAAAACAATGTATGATCCCCATTACTTAGTTTGTAACCTAATGTTGTCATAGCCTTAGTAAAACCTTCCAAACCATGCCCGATGTGACTGTTTCAATCCATATAATGCCTTTTGCAACTTACAACCAGACTTGGCAGCAACGTTTTTGTTATATCCCGGTGGAACATCCATATAAATTTCTTCCTCAAGATCTCCATGTAAGAATGCGTTTTTCACATCGAATTGTTGTAATTCTCATCCGTAATTGGCAGCAAGGGATAATATAACTCGAACCGTATTCATCTTTGCCACCGGGGCAAAAGTTTCTGAATAATCAATCTCATAGATTTGTGTGAAACCTTTAGCAACCAACCTTGCTTTGTACCTCTCAATTGTTCCATCAACTTTGTAATTTACTGTATACACTCACTTGCAGTCAACTGCTTTCTTGCCTTCCGACAAAGCAACCAACTGTTTCTTCTCTAATGCCTCCATTTCTGTATCCATAACACGTTTCCATTTTTTATCGGATAATGCCTCCATTTCTGTATCCATAGCACGTTTCCAATTTTTATCGGATAATGCCTCAAAAATATTAGTCGGAATTTGGATGGTATTTAAGTTTGCAAGAAAGGTTTTATGGGTTTGAGAATTTTTTTGAAATGAAATATAATTTGAGAGAGGATAGAGTGATTTTTTTGTACATTCTCTAACGCTCTTTCTAATGGCAATTGGGAGGTCATGGTTATCAACTATTTTATTTTGTGGGGCTGGAATATCATGTAAAACAGAAAAGTCAGAATTTGTTACCTGTGTCAAAGGACTTGGATCGGTTGCTTGGACATATGTTGCTTCAGGAATGGCCTTTAATCTTTTATACTCCAAATTCTTTCCAAACTTGTCAATTTCAGCTCTGTTTTCAGCCACGACTTCTTTCTCAATTCTATTTTCAGCCACTGCTTCATCTCTGGATTCATTTCCAAATCCATCTTCAACCAATGCCTCATTTTTAGATTCATTTCCAGCCATTCCTTCTCTCGAATTGATCTCATGAGAATTCATTTCAAGATTAGGAAGACTAAGAGTTTCCCTTATCTTCATTAAGAGACTCCCCTCGAAGATAAGGTTGAGTGAAGTAGGCTTCTCCTTCATGAAAGGTAACATCTCTAGACACAAATAATTTTTTTGATGGAGGGTGGTAACACTTATATCCTTTTTGAGTAGTATAGTATCCAACAAAGACACATTTGAGAGCCCTAGGATCAAACTTTCCCCTACCTTGACTATGGATATGAACAAACGAGACACATCCAAAAACCCGTGGGACAAGATTATTAGTGGTCAAAATGTTTGGATAAAAGGACAAAAGAATATCCGGAGGACTCCTTAATTCCAACACTCTAGAAGGTAGCCGATTAATGAGGTATGTTGCTGTAAGAACAGCTTCTCCCAAAGATACTTTGGAACATTATTTTGGAACAACAATACCCGAGTTTGGTCAAGAAGATGACCATTTTTTCTTTCAGCAGTTCCATTTTATTGTGGGGTTTTTACACAAGAGGACTCATGAATTATTCCTTCTTTTTCAAAAAAAGGAGTAATGACATGATTGAAGAACTCTTTCATATTATCAGATATGATTCTTTTGCTATTTACACCAAATTGATTTTTAATCATTGAGGAAAAAACTGGGAGAACGGTACTTTAGATTTATTCTTAAGAAGGAACAACCAAGTAACTCAGGTACAATCATCTATGAAAGTAACGGACCATCGAGCACCAGTCACACTTGGAATAGTGGATGGCCCCCAAACATCAGTATGGACAAGATGAAAAGGAATTGTGCATCTTTTATTATTCAAAGGAAAAGGTACACGCTTATGTTTTGCAATTTCACATACTTCACAATGAAGAGTCTCATCTTTCACTTTAGAAAACAAAGATGGAAACATAAATTTGATAACTCCAAAAGAGGGATGTCCTAATCGATAATGGAAAAGCATTATTTTTTCTTTGCTTGTGAGATGTGACGCTGACATTAGCGAGCAATACAAGTGATTCTTTGTGGTAACAAGCTGATTTGGTTCTTCAAGATAGTAAAGGCCATTTCCTTCTCTAGCATGTCCAATCGTCTTCCCCGAATCCTTGTCCTGAAATACACAATGATGGTTGTGAAAAATTACAATACAAGATAAATCTTTAGTAAGATTTTGTATAGAGACCAGGTTCGTAGACAATTTTGGAACATGAAGGACATTTTTAAGACAATGGAAGGAGTTATTTGGATGTCTCCAATACCATCCCCTATTACTATAGTACCATCAACAATGAAAATTTTCTTATTACTAGGACTAGGGTGATATGTGGAGAAGTACTTGGATGAAGGTGTCATATGGTCCGTAGCTCCTGAATCTAAGATCCAAAAGGAAGTAGAAAGTATATTTGAGGCATTTAAACCCGAATAAAATTGGAAACATACCTGAATATGCCAAAGTACAAGTACCTTTTGGTTTCTCCAGGCTATTAAGAAAATCTTTCAATCTCTTTTTGGTTAAGGCTGTTTAATCCAGAACTATTTGAAGATTCTGCCTTGTTTTCTTCAACTTTTTCAGCAACATAAACCCTACTATTTTTGCGAGATACACCTCCGGGAAGACCTCCTCTTTGTCCTTCTTCACGACTAGAAGGTTTTCTATGCAACTTCCAACACTTCTCACGAGTATGTCGAGGTTTATTACAGTAAGTACACCACAATTTGTCATTCTTTTCCACCTTTGCTTGTCCACCACCTTTAAGATTTTCAACTATCATGGCTGAACTTTCAATGGATGGAGTATCTAGCATTAAGTCTCTTTTACTCTCCTCACTTCTTACAATGGCAACAACCTCATTTAAGGAAGGAACTTGAGGCTTTCCTAGAATCTGAATTCTTACCTGATCAAATTCAGAATTTAATCCCACAAGAAAGTCATAGACCCTATCTTGTTCAATAAACTCCTTAAGGACTGCTGAGTTTGCTGCACAATGAGTTTTTATCACTCTATAGTGATCCAATTCCATCCAAAGAGACTTCAATTGGTTGGCATTTTCTGTAACAGATTTATTTCCTTGCTCAGCGGCAACTGTTTTGACCTTCACATCATAAATTTGGACAACATCTTTGGCCTTCGAATAAGTTTGCTCTATTGCATCCCAAATTTCTTTTGCAGTGCTAAGAAACATGCAAGTATCACTAATCTCCAGAATCATCGAGTTCCATAGCCAGGCCATAATCATCGAGTCTTCCTCATCCCATGCAGTAAAAGTTGGATCTCCCTCGGCTGGACCAGTACCAGTTAAGTGACTGAGTTTACCTTTCCCTTTTAATACAGTGCGAATAAGTTGGGTGCACTTCAAATAATTTTCCCCATTTAGTCGATAAGCAGGCTGGATGCTCTGTAATTTTCCAGACATATTATTTTGGACTTGAGAACTGTGAGAACATAAAGTCATTTGTTTTGTAGAAAATGCCAATGCATTAGAAATCACTGATTTCTATGATAAAGAGAAGATTAAGCATAATTTACTAAATATGTATCAACTTACTTTAGTACATGAGTCTCTTATATATAAAGAACTCATATTCTTGTTTATGCATCATCCTATAATCATTCAATTGTGTTTCTTCTCATTTATATACTATTCTCTTATATTTTAGCTGTGTTATAATTATTTCATGTTATTCTGATACCCAACAGTGGTATTAGAGCATTTGGTGTTGGTCCATATTTCGCTGCAAATATTATTCACGGTGAAATTGTGCAAGCCGGTTTAATTGAAATTACCATGACGACAAAATTTGAGATTGAGAAGTTCAATGGGAGTAATTTCTCCCTGTGGAAATTGAAGATAAAGGCAATCCTGAGGAAGGATAATTGCTTAGCAGCAATTGAAGATAGAAATGAGGGAATATCTGATGAGAAGTGGAATGAGATGGATAACAACGCTGTTGCCAACTTGCACTTAGCATTGGCGGATTCAGTTTTGTCTAGCGTTGCCGAAAAGAAAACTGCGAAGGAGATTTGAGATGTTCTCATCAAATTGTACAAGGTCAAGTCACTTCACAACAGAATTTTCTTAAAGAGAAGACTCTACACTCTTCGAATGAGTGAATCTACATCTGTGATAAATCACATCAACACTCTTAATACGATGTTTGCTCAACTTACATCGACAAATTTCACCATAGCAAAAAATGAACGTGCAAAACTTCTACTTCAGAGCTTACCAGATTCATATGATCCACTTGTCGTCAACTTAACAAATAATAATGTTACAGACCGTCTATACTTTGATGATGTTGTCGGAGCTATTCTTGAGGAAGAGTCCAGGCGTATAAATAAGGAAGACCGTCAAGAAAACTCAAAACAAGTAAAAGCTTTGACAATGACAAGAGGCAGATCAATGGAACGTGGCCCCAGTGGGAGCCAAAATCATGGTAGATCAAAATCTCGAAGTAAGATGAATGTGAGATGCTACAATTGTGGCAAGAAATGTCACTTGAAAAGAGATTGTTAGTTTAAGAAGAATGGTGCGAAGTCTTCTGAGGCAAGTTCATCTCAAGGATGTATTGCCAATACCTCTGATGATGGACAGATTCTATATAGCGGAGCAACAACTAATTCCAACGGTAGTAAACAACTCACTGATGTTTGGATAATTGATTCAGGAGCAACATGGCACATGATTCCTCGACGAGATTGGTTTTACATTATCAACCTATCTCAGAAGGATTAGTGTTCATGGGAAACAATTACGCCTTAGAAATTGCTGGTGTTGGTACTGTGAAAATAAAAATTTATGATGGTACAGTTCACACAATTCAAGAGGTGCGACATGTGAAAGGGTTGAAGAAGAATTTATTGTCTATTGGACAATTAGATGACCTCGGGTGCAAGACTCATATTGAAGGTGGGATCTTGAAAGTGGTGAGAGGTGCTCTAGTAGTGATGAAGGCAGAAAAGTTATCAACAAATCTGTACATTCTTATGGGAGAGACGTTGCAAGAAGGTGATGTGTCAATTGCATCAACTAGTCAAGAAAACTCAACGACAATGTGGCATCGCAGACTGGGCCACATGTCAGAACGAGGCTTGAAAGTTCTTGCAGAACATGATCTCTTACCCGGGCTCAAATCAGTAAGTCTACCTTTCTGTGAGCATTGTGTAGTAAGCAAACAAAATAGGTTGAAGTTTGATAGATCAACTACTAAGCAAACACATACTTGACTTGATTCATTCTGATGTGTTGGAGTCACCGCAAATGTCCATAGGAGGAGCAAAATATTTTGTATCATTCATTGATGATTACTCCAAGAGATTGTGGGTATACCCAATCAAGAAGAAGTCAGACGTGTTTTCAATATTCAAGCAATTCAAAGCACTAATTGAGCTCGAAATTGGAAAGAAGATTAAGTGCTTGAGGACAGACAATGGAGGAGAATATACAGACGGTGATTTTTTGGCATTTTGCAAGGAAGAGGGTATAATGAGACAATTTACAGTTGCTCATACGCCTCATCAAAATGGTGTAGCAGAGCGGATGAATAGAACTCTCCTAGAAAGGACTAGAGCTATGTTGCGAACTGCAGGATTAACTGTCATTCTGGGCAGAAGTCGTGAAAACTGCATGTTATGTGATAAATAGATCGCCATCAAGTGCAATTGGTTTTAAGACTCCGATGGAGATGTGGAAAGGAAATCCAGCTGAGTATTCTACTCTACATGTGGTTGGATGTCCTGTGTACGTGATGTACAACTCCCAAGAAAGAACTAAGCTGGATCCAAAATCCAGGAAATGCATATTATTGGGCTATGCTGACGGTGTCAAGGGGTATCACCTGTGGGATCCCACTTCTCGCAAGGTTATTGTCAGCAGGGATGTAATCTTTGCAGAGAATGAACTGCAAAGGGAACAGGAAAATGATAGTACTTCTAAAGATATCACTACTTTTCATATAGATGGAAAGTCTGTAGAAGATGATTCTTTTGAAGCAGAACCAGAGCACGAGGTACAAGAACTAGAGGAACCTGATGGTGTTGAAGTTCGACGACCAACACGTCAGAAAAGGAAACCAAATTGGCAGTTAGACTATGTTATGGCAAGCCATGATGCATATTGTCTTCTAACAGAAGATGGAGAACCATCAACCTTTCAAGAGGCTGTGAGTTGCTCAAGTGATTCTCTGTGGATGGCAACAATGCAGGAAGAAATGGAAGCCTTACATTGAAACAAGACATGGGATCTTGTTGTACTTCCAGAGGGTCGGAAAGCCATCGGCAACAAATGGGTCTATAAGATTAAGCGTGATGGTAATGATCAAGTAGAAAGATATCGTGCAAGACTTGTGGTTAAAGGATATGCTCAAAAGGAAGGAATTGATTTCAATGAAATATTTTCTTCGGTGATTAGACTTACCACTATCAGAGTAGTGTTAGCTATGTGTGTTGCTTATGATTTATATCTTGAACAATTGGATGTAAAGACTGCTTTTCTTCATGGAGAACTTGAAGAAGAAATATATATGCTACAACCAGAAGGTTTTGAAGAAAAAGGAAAAGAAAACTTGGTTTGCAGGTTGACCAAATCTCTGTACGGTTTAAAGCAGGCGCCGAGGTGTTGGTACAAGAGATTTGATTCTTTCATTATTAGCCTTGGATACAACAGGTTGAGCTCAGATCATTGTACATATTACAAGAGGTTTGAGGAAAATGCTTTCATCATTTTGTTGTTGTATGTGGATGACATGTTGGTGGTAGGCCCCAACAAAGATCAAGTCCAAGAATTAAAGGCACAATTGGCTAGGGAGTTCGATATGAAGGACTTGGGGCCAGCAAACAAGATTTTAGGGATGCAAATTCACCGAGATAGAAAAGATGGGAAGATTTGGCTTTCTCAAAGAAATTATCTACGAAAAATTTTGCGGCGCTTCAACATGCAAGACTGTAAGCCAATATCTACCCCACTTCCTGTCAATTATAAATTATCCTCAAGTATGAATCCTAGCAATGAAGCGGAGAGGATGGAAATGTCTCGAGTACCCTATGCATCAGCGGTGGGAAGCCTTATGTATGCCATGATATGTACAAGGCCAGACATTGCACAAGCAGTGGGAGCGGTCAGTCGGTTTATGGCAGATCCTGGTAAAGAGCATTGGAATGTTGTGAAGAGGATCCTGAGATACATTAAAGGAACTTCGGATGTTGCATTATGTTTTGGAGGATTGGAGTTTGGTGTCAGAGGATATGTTGATTCGGATTATGCAGGTGATCTTGACAAAAGAAAATCTACTACAGGCTATGTGTTTACAATTGCAGGAGGAGCGGTAAGCTGGTTATCCAAATTGCAGACTGTTGTAACTCTATCTACTACAGAAGCTGAGTATATGGCAGCTACCCAAGCATGCAAGGAAGCTAAGGTTATTGGAAGAGCTCGAATACAAACAACCAAAAATTATTGTGTATTGTGATAATCAACGTGCCTTGCACATTGCAAGAAATCCAGCTTTTCATTCCAAGACAAAACACATAGGAGTTCAATACCATTTCGTTCGTGAGGTATTAGAAGAAGGGAGTGTGGACTTGCAGAAGATTCACACAAAAGACAACCTAGCAGATGTTATGACCAAGCCGATCAACGCTGACAAGTTTTATTGGTGCAATTCTTCTTATGGCCTATCTAAAACGTAGCAACATGGAATTAACAAGAGATATAAATTTTGGAAACAAACAAAATGACTTTAAGTGGGAGATTGTGAGAACATAAAGTCATTTGTTTTGTAGAAAATGTCAATGCATTAGAAATCACTGATTTCTATGATAAAGAGAAGATTAAGCATAATTTACTAAATATGTATCAACTTATTTTAGTACATGAGTCTCTTATATATAGAGAACTCATATTGTTGTTTATGCATCATCCTATAATCATTCAATTGTGTTTCTTCTCATTTCTATACTATTCTCTTATATTTTAGCTGTGTTATAATTATTTCATGTTATTCTGATACCCAACAAGAACTACCTCCTTGAGCAAATGGATTTACAATCTCCTCCTCCATAAGTGGGTAATTAAAAGTGTATTTCGATGCAAAAAAGTGTACAAACAACAGTTGGACAAACAACTACTGGAAGAAGTACGAAATAGTGCAAGACTACCGGAAAGAACAAATAGTGTTTAATTGAAAGAACTTGACAGCAAGTGTTGCCCAGTCAAGATTTAAGGGTTTTGGCGGCATAAAAATGCCCAATCAGATTTTCTAAGTAATGATTAGCGGAAGTAGAGTCCCCTAGATTAGGAGCTCTGATGTCATGTTAAAGACAGAGAAAACATGTATGAATGTGCTTGAGATACATTGCTCTCAGCATAAGCTTAATTTATAATCACTTTGTTACAACTTACAAGAATAATAAATAATTATGTGCAACTTACAAGAAAGGAATTAAAATAATACATAGAACTTAGTATGTATGCAATGAATTGACTATTTGGAAAATGCAGAATTAATTATTTTAATTTCCAACAGACATACTCTCATTGTAAAGATTGCTGTAGCGGATTTATTTTTAAAATGGTTACCCTTGATCATGATCTCTTAGGACAGTCAGTGGATGTGACTATTTAATTTCTGCGTTATTTCAAGGATGCTCATTTTCACCTTTTCCGTTTGCACTACTTTTTTAGCATGACTATGTTTGTGATATTGATATTGACTGATTGAAGTGTCAATATGTCATTATTTTAGATTTTGGCTTTAACCTTTACAGCCTCCATGTTTTGATTTTAAAAAAATCTATTATCCAATGTCGTATTCTCTCATACGAGTATTTCTATGGTGGTCTGGAGAAAATATTGACTAGTGCTCCCTTTTTAACATTCAAATTGTAGGAAAAGCCATCTAGAACAATTGAATCTGTTGGAGCATTTCAAAAGTTGCCTATAGTAATGCCATCTATTGACATTCTGGGGTCAGCACTGAGAAAGGCGAGGAGGGTTTCTGCAACAAAAGGTTCTTGGCTTTTGTTCTTCAATCCCAAATAGACTTTTCCGTTTGTATCCTAAACCCTGTGGTGGACTCTAATTTTTAAGTTGGCATCATGTAGGAATTGTCAATATTGCAAAAAGAGAGAAAAACAAAGGTGCAAAACAACTTGACGCGTTGATGAAAGTATGTTGTTAAAACTTCTAAACTTGTCGTGATTCAAGTAATGTTTGATTCAACTTCTATTGTCCGTCTTAGGAACTTGCTGTTCCATTGAGGACATATGTGGAGAACTTTCCTGATAAAAGACACCTTCATCCTTATGAAAGGTCACTTATTGAGCTGACACTTGGTGATGGGTACTATGAAAAGGTATGTCAGGCAAGTTGCAGCGCAGAACTGAACTTGTGTTCTTAACTTTGACTAGCATGTTCACTTAGTTTTTGAAGGACATATACTGTTTTGACTATTCAGCATTCCTATTTTAGAAAAGTCACATGAATAGTTAAATACATACAAACTTGTTTTTTAGACATTTTCGAATTGCTGATTTGAAATTGTTCTACAGGTGCTAGGGAATGTAGATGGTTTGAGGAAGAGGGTAGTGTCTATTGGAAAGGAACATGCTTCACTTTGTGCTAAGGTTTTATTTAGCAATTTGCAATTTTATTCTGACCAGTTTCTTTGCTAGGTGATTTTGGTGTTTCATTCTTGAAAATGTTATGTGCATGAATATTTACGAAGTTTTAGTAGGAAACAAAAAGGAATCCTTTTGCTAGGTATAGATGTCAATTGTGATTTATGTTTGTTAAAGGTATGGATATTTTATCTCCAAGTTTATATGATTTTATGATGTTTAAAATTTTCCAAGGAGATCTTTATTAGAATTTTGTAGTCTCATTTGTTTCATCCTAATTTCAGGTAGTATTGCCCATGCTAGTCTTTTATTTTTTCTGGAAATATATCATTTCGGATGGAGAGTTCTAATGTCTCTATATAATTATCTTTTTACCTTGGTGATTTTTTTTGTCATCCTCTGCTTTAACTTGTAACCTACCATGTGACAGTCTACGACAAAGCGTGAAGCAGAGGAAAGACTGAATGAGGTGAGGTGTATATCCTGTGAAGGAATATCTGATTTTTAATTTCTCCGGTTTCACAATATATGTTGGTGTTATGCAGGGTCTTAAAATAATTGAAGAGAGTTTTGGTCAAAATCGGAATGTAGTTGACGATTTGTTAAACATAGCGAAGGTAATCCACTTTCCAATATATGAAATCCTTGTCCGTCTGTCTATTATTTTGTTCACCTGTGCAGTTTTTGTAATTATACATATTGCCATGCTTAGTTGAGTGGTCAGTGAATCTTATTTTTTTCTTTAATTATTTTCCACATGAGCTTAATCCACATCATCTACCTGATTGCTGATAAATGTTTCAGACTCTGAGGGCAATGCCTGTAATTAATTTGGAAACACCAACTCTTTGCCTTGTTGGAGCCCCTAATGTAGGCAAATCTTCTTTGGTCCATGTACTCTCTACTGGCAAGCCTGAGGTACGCACAGCTGAATTTGAATATTTATTTGTTAAAATCCTTACATATTCTGTTTTTATTTTATGCTTCTTAGATTAGATGGCTTGAATTGAAATATTGATCTTGCTAAGGTAACCGGTTCTTAGAAATTGTGTCTCATGCATGATGCATCTCTGATTTGTTTATGGGTCTGCCAAAATATTTAACACAAAATATCAATAAGGATGCAGTTTACCTTGGTTGACACTTGAAATTGCCACGGTGCTTCAGAAATGCACAAGGGCCTTGTATGATTATTACTATGTTATTTTCCTTCTATTCTTGAGAGCATAGACTTTTTTTACTAGACTTTGAATGCAAGTAAACTGATTGGACTTTGAATGCAAGTAAACTGATTGTACTTTGAATGCAATAGTGGGTACTAGTGTCCCAATTGCCCGACTCGTTCCCATATTTTATAATCGGGGAAAACCCAAACCTAATTAAATCGGGTTTTCCCCGTCAAACTCAGGCAGGTTCGGGTGAGTCTCCACGGGTACACACGTTATATTGTCATGCTTACTCCCAATTGCCATTAGAAAATAATTTGGAAATGCACCAAGTTCCAATTTCATCCTTTTTTTATCCTTGGTTGTTGTCTTCATCAGATATTAACCTAAGCTAGATTAAGTACAACAATTGTTTTGCTTGGGCTTCAGCAGATCTACTTAGCTGCAGCAGATTTGAAGATTCCACAATCCATATAATCTTTTCTCATGCTTTTTCCTTTCCTCTCTACCTATAATTTCAGATTTGTAACTATCCCTTCACAACAAGAGGAATTCTTATGGGTCATATTATTTTTAACCATCAGAAGTTTCAGGTTAACAAAATAATCTTTGACTCATTTGCTTTTTTGGATATTTTCTCTTTTAACCACATATCACGTAATTGTAATGGCATGCCTAATATGATTGTAGGTAACAGATACCCCAGGCTTGCTGAAGAGACATGACAGTAAGATTTTTTTTGCTTCTTCAAATTTTTTTTTGTATTTGTTCGTCTTGTTTGGTAAACCTTTATATATCCAAGGTTTTTACTCCACTCATGGTTTTAGGATTAATTTTCCTTAGAGGAGTGTAGTATTGAGCAGGGTGGAGAATGATAGTTGTTAAGAGTCCCACATCGGACAATATATGGCCTGAACATGTGTTTATAAGTGGGGGCAATCCTCACCCTATAAGCCGGTTTTGTAGGGTTGAATTAGGCCCAACCACATCTTAATATGGTATCAGAGCCTCGTTTAAGATCCAGTGGACCATCCACCATTTATTTCCACGCTCCAGTTGTCTAGTCCTGAGCGTGAGGGGGTGTGTTAAGAGTCCCACATCGGACAATATATGGCCTGAACATGTGTTTATAAGTGGGGGCAATCCTCACCCTATAAGCCGGTTTTGTAGGGTTGAATTAGGCCCAACCACATCTTAATAATAGTTATTCTCATTTTACCTTAGTTCTTTAAGCTCCTCCTAAAAATTAGGAGTGCTACTTATTTGTTATCCCTTAGGCTATGTTTGGGAGTTGGGTTTTGGAGGAAAAGTGAGGGGAAGACATATTTTTCATTTCTAAATCAAAGAAATTATAAAATATTTCTAATTAATTATAACTGATTTCTTGGTCTCTAGTCTAGTTTTAACATAACAATTCTTCCTTCTGTAATTTCTTTATTTGTTTTGTAATCGTAGATGACAGAAATAATTTGGAAAAGTTGACCCTTGCTGTCCTTCAGCATCTACCAACAGCAGTCTTGTATGTTCACGACCTTTCAGGGGAATGTGGGACCTCACCTTCAGATCAGGTGTGCTTCTATGACAATTGAATTCTTAAAATAAGCAAAAATTAAATGTGATGTTGATCTTTAAATGGCTATAAAAAGGGTTGTCTTGTTTGTTTTCGAATTTATACCACATGACATGATTTCCTTCGAGCTATTAAACTATTTTTCATGGACTTCAGCAAAGTTGTGTTAACTGAGCTTTTTGAATAACTGAAAATGGGTGTAGAACTTATTTTCTTTTAATAGATATCAAGAGGGTTTTCTTTCTTTTTTATTTTTTATTTTTTTAATTTGTACTGCAAACATGACCTTCATTTGTTGGATGTCACAATACTTTAACTCTTCTAGGAACCTCTTTAATACATCTTAGAATATGTATTGAAGCATCCCAATGATCAATATAAGGAGATCGCCTACATTGACTATAACTACCCCTACCGCCAAAGAATTATTGGGAGTGGTAACTTTTAGATAAATGAGCTTTCCAACCAATCACTGATTTCTCTCAAGATCTGGATAAGGTTCTCCTTGATAAGGATCGTAGGACTATAACATATCTACGATCTAGCATTCTTGTTTCTTTAAGGATGTCTAATGCATACATGCTATGTGAAATGAGAATTCCTTTCTTCGGTTGAACTTCTATACTAAGAAAGTATTTTTTTTATTTTTATTTTTGTTTTTACCACCGGTATAGTCCGGTTCGGGGGTCAGTTCTGACATCAAGTAGTTTCAGCTCCCTCCCGATCGCAGTTGCGGGGGATCGAACCGTGGTCCTCCCTATACCAAGAAAATATTTTAAATTCCCAAGATCTATGGTCTGAAGGTGATTGAAGAGGTACTTCCGAATTTTTTTTATGGTCATTGTCTATGATGACAATACCATCAACATAAACCACTAATAAACACATTTTTTTTTAGAGAAGCATGACGATAAAAAATTGAATGGTATTCTTAACTTCGAACATCTGAGTTGAATTTCCAATACCAAGTTTTTGGAGACTGTTGGAGTGCATAAAGGAAGCGTTTGAGTTTGCAAATAAATAAAGATTCCCCTTGAGCAACAAAATTAGGAGGTTGCTCCATGTAAATTGCTTCTTCTAGTTCTCCATTAAAGAATACATTTTTAATGTCCAATTGATGTAGTGGCCAACGAAGGATAGTAGCCATGGGAAGAAAAAGATGTACCAAAGTAATTTTTGCTACAAGTGAAAAGCATTTCCATAGTCAAAAGACCATAGATTTAGGTATAATTTGGCCACTAATCTAGCTTGAGACAAACAACTTCTCCATTCGAGCCAACTTAGATAACATACACCCATTTGCAATCTCAATTTTCTCAATTTCAACCATAGATTTGGGTGTATCCTTGACCACCAATCTAGCTTTGAAACAACCGATTTCTCCATTTGAGCCAACTTAGATAGAAGACACTCATTTGCAACCAATAGTTTTCTCCATTGAACCATATATTTGGGTATATCATTTGGCCACCAATCTAACTTCTAGATGATCAAATTCTCCATTTGTTTCAACTTGGAGAAGAGTTTTAGAAATAGATGGTTTGCGTCTAAGCAGAAGTAAGACGGGGTATATAGAATGTAAGTTCAACAAAAGGAGAAGTGTTTCTAACCTAGAGATGAAAGTTGGAGACCATATTATCCCTCAAGTCACACGGTTTAAATATCTTGGGTGTGTAATACAAAATGATAGAGAAATAGAAGGGAATGTAAACCATCGAATTCAAACTGGATGGTTGAAATGGAGAAAAGCATCAAGTGTTTTATGTGATGCAAAGGTACCATTCAATCTGAAAGGAAAGTTTTATCGGATTGCGGTAAGACCTGCAATTTTTTACGGCACATAATGTTGGGCGATTAAGAATCAACACGAGAATAAAGTAAGTGTAGCAGAGATGAGAATGTTGTGATGGATGTGTGGTAAGATTCGACAAGATAAAATTTGAAATGAAAATATTAGAGTGTCGGGGTAGCGCCTATAGCGCCTACAGTAGAGAAGATGGTGGAAAATAGACTTAGTTGGTTTGTGCATGTAAAGAGAAGACCGGTAGATTAAGTATGGGTGGAAACTTCTACAATCCTGTATCCTGGCCAAATTATGCTCCCAATGTATGGACTAGAGCTCCAGGTCCTAGCAGAATGGCTGCCCCTCTTATGCTGCCTCCAAGCACATTTGTTGCTAATGCTATGCCATCTCCCTCTGCTGGTTGGTTTCCTGATTCAGGCGCCTCCTTTCATGCTACCAGTGATGCCAAAAATCTGCAGCAGTTAACACCCTTTGAAGGTCATGATCAGATTTTCATTGGCAATGGCCAAGGTTTGCACATTCAATATGCTGGCTCTAGTACTTTTCCCTCACCCTATCAACCACACACACACCTAACACTAAAAAACCTGTTGCTTGTTCCCTCAATAACCAAAAATTTAATGAGTGTTAGCAAATTCTGCAAAGATAACAATGTCTATTTCCTGTTTAATGCTGATACTTGTGTCAAATCTCAAGTTTCGGGTGAAACACTTCTTAAAGGTTCTGTTTGCAGTGATGGCTTGTATGAGTTTCCTAATGTGCAGCTGTCCAATTATGCTAAACCAGCTAGTCTCTTTCCCTATTTTTCTGCCAATAAAACTGATGTTCCTAGTGCTCAATATATTAGAGTAGATCCTAATTTGCCTAATGTGTGACATCTTAGGTTAGGACATCCTAATCTTCATGCTTTTGAAGCTTGTTTTGCAAAGCTGTAACATTCCTTTTTCAAATAAAAATTATTCTCTTTTATGTTCTGCTTGTTGTATGGGTAAAGTTCACCGTTTACACTCATCTGCCTCACATACCACATACACGACACCTCTTGAGCTTGTTTATAGTGACCTATAGGGTCCTTTTCCAAGTCCCTCCACACTTGGTCACAGCTACTATATTTCTTTTGTAGATGTTTAGTCCAAGTTCACTTGGATCTATTTGCTTAAAAACAAATCTGAAGCCTTAAATATCTTTAAGCAATTTAAAACTATGGCAAAATTGCAACTGGGGTTTCCCATTAAAGCTATCCGTTGATATTTGTAAATATATAATGTTAAGAATATTTGTATGTAGAATAGTCCCACATCGATTATATAGTGTAATTAGTTGTAATCTCTCTATATATAATAAAGTCTCCGTAGTACTTTCATAACACGGTTTAACCTAAATGTCTCTTAGTCTCTCCTAATTCAATATGGTATCTAGAGCCTTCTAAGAGGCAATTCTTCGCCGTGCTTTACCCGGTTGACCCACAGTCTTTCGGTGAGAAATTTTCTTCTGCAAACCGTGTCATCATTCCGATTTGCCTCACCTTTTTTTCCAACGACCTTCGCCAAGCACAGTCCACGTAAATTTTTTTTCTTCGGAGGACTACTGTTCACCGCCGCCGTCACTGCTCACCGCCGCCGTCACTGCTCACCGCCGCCGTCACTGCTCACCGCTGCCGCTACTGTTCGCGAAAAAAGAAAGAAAGAATTCTCTCGGAAAATCGCCTTCCTCCTCCGGTTCCAGATCCGCCCTCGGTTTTTCGTTTTCGACTCACAAAAAGTCGTACTCTTGTTCAAACAATCTCAGTTGTTGTGTTTTAAGCCATGGGAGATGCTGATTCTATCTCGTTTATTAAAGTTCCGCTTATCCCATGTGAAAAACTAACCGGATCAGTCAACTATAACATATGGACTCGTGCTGTCGAGATGTGGTTTCACGGTCAAGGATATGAAGAGCATCTAACCACCCAATTGAGTTATGTTGCAGCCGTCAAACTCGCTAAATGGAAGAAAACTGATGCCTCTTTGTCTACTGTGTTGTGGTTTTCCATAGCACCTAACCTCCAAGCGCAACACCAAGCATTCTCCACTTGTTATGAGGTGTGGCAAAAGGCCAAGAAAGTCTTTTCCAACGACGTTCATTCTCTATACAGTGTCATCCACAAACTCAACACACTGAAGTTAGAAAATATGGATGTGCAAGCTTATCTGAGTAAGCTTGATGCCTTGAAAGCAAGTTACGCAACCCTCATGCCTTACGCAAAAGATGCAATAGCTCATGTCGAACAACAAAGTAAATATTTGATGGTCATGGCACTTAAAGGACTACCATCAGAACTCAAATCTGTTCGTAACCAGATTTTATCAGGTACTACTGTTCCTAACTATGATACAGTTAGTGAACAATTGTTGCGCTTGGCTACACCTCATGCGTTTGGCCCGGTTTCTCCTCCATCTATTGCTATTCCAACACCAGGTGACACTGCTGCTCTTGCACCTCTTGGCAACAATCAGAATCGCCTTCGAGGAGGGTCATCTAACTCCAAACCTCGTCCTAAGTGTGACCATTGTAACCAGCTTGGACATACTATCGATCGTTGCTGGAAGTTGCATGGCAAACCTCCACGGCAGGTAAGTGCAACTCAAATTGATAATCCAGACACTATGCAGACTTCACCTTCTCTTCAGAACCCTACGCCAAGCTACGAGGATTTTCTCAAGTGGTGTCAGACTAACCAGGCCTCTGGTTCCACGACTTCGATTGCACATACTGGTAATTCATCTGTTTGCGTCTCTCAATCATCTCCTCTTGGTCCTTGGGTCCTCGACTCTGGTGCGTCTGATCATGTTACCGGTAATAAAAATCTTTTCTCTTTCCTTTCTACCTCTGGTTTCTTACCGAGTATAACTGCCGCAAATGGTTCTCAAACCCGATCCCAAGGGATCGGTACTGTTCAAATTCTACCATCTCTCTTTGTTACTTCTGTCCTATATGTACCTCATTGCCCATTTAATCTACTGTCAGTCAGTCGTTTAACTCGTTCCCTTAATTGTTCTATCATTTTTACTAACAGTGATGTTATTCTGCAGGATCGAAGTTCGGGACAGACGATTGGCGTCGGATGTGAGTCTCAATGCCTCTATTACTTCTCTACGTCATCTACCACATGCTCCACCACAGATTCTCCACTCATTATACATGCGCAGTTAGGTCATCCAAGTCTTCCCAAGCTACAAAAGTTGGTGCCCAGTTTATCTAAATTATCCACTTTACAGTGTGAGTCTTGTCAATTAGGGAAACATACTCGTAGTCAGTTTCCTGATCGAGTCAATAAACGGGCTGCGTCCCCTTTTGCTTTAGTTCACTCCGATGTTTGGGGTCCATCGCGTACTGTGTCTACTTTTGAGTCTAGGTATTTTGTAACATTTATTGATGATTTTTCACGTTGCACGTGGCTATTTTTAATGAAAAACAGATCTGAATTATTTTCTATTTTTGAACAATTTTATCGAGAAATAAGAACTCAATTTGGTTTGTCCATTCGTACCTTAAGAAGTGACAATGCACGTGAATATTTATCCCAACAACTTCAAACTTTTATGTCATCCAATGGTATTCTACACCAAACATCTTGCCCTCATACACCTCGACAAAACGGGATAGCCGAACGCAAAAACCGACATCTCGTAGAAACCACTCGGACTCTACTTCTCCATGGTAATGTCCCTCAGATTTTGGGGGGATGCTGTGCTCACGGCGTGTTATCTCATAAATCGCATGCCCTTATCTGTCCTTAATAATAAAATCCCTCATTCAATCTTGTTTCCAAACTCTCCTCTTCACCCAATTCCTCCTCGAGTCTTCGGGTCTACATGTTTTGTGCATAATCTCTCCCCCGGTCTTGATAAACTATCAGCTCGATCACTAAAGTGTGTCTTTCTTGGTTATCATCGATCCCAAAAGAGTTATCGTTGCTACTCACACACTCTGCAACGATACCTGATATCGTTGCTTCTTTGAGTCTGTGCCATATTTTGCGTCGACCCAAGTCACTCCGGAACCCCTTCAGGAAAGTACTCCCACACCTCTTCCGGACGTCTCATTTTCCATTATTCCCCATCATTCTAGAGAACTTGTCCCACGAGAAACTCCTACGGTTGACCCCCCCACTTCTCGCCCACTTCAAACATATCAGCGTCGTAAACCAACGTCTGTCATACTTGTCCCTGAGGTTGTACATGTCCCTGAGATCGTACCTGTCCCTGAGGTCATTGCAAACTCTCCTCCGACGCTATCGCCATCACCGGATTCGATCCTGCAACCTGAGTCTGATCTTCCGATTGTCCTTCGCAAAGGTATACGTCAAACACGAAATTCTTCTCCATATTATATTGATTTATGTTATCATCGTCTTTCCCTTTTTGCAGTATACTTGTTTGTCCTCTGTTTCTATTCCTAAATCTCCAGGTGAAGCATTATCTCACCCTGAGTGGAGGCAAGCAATGATTGATGAAATGTGTGCTCTTCAAAACAGTGGTACCTGGGAACTGGTTTCTCTATCCACTGGAAAATCTTTAGTAGGTTGTCGTTGGTTTTATACAGTGAAGGTTGGTCCAGATGGTAAGATTGGTCGTTTTAAAGCTCGCTTGGTAGCCAAGGGATACACTCAGATTTTTGGGTTGGATTATAGTGATACCTTCTCGCCGGTAGCCAAGATGGCATCTGTTAGACTTCTTCTAGTGATTGCAGCCATTCGACATTGGCCTCTTCATCAACTTGACATCAAAAATGCATTTTTACATGGTGATCTTGAAGAGGAAGTATATATGGAGCAACCACCTGGTTTGTTGCTCAGGGGGAGTCATCGAATATGGTTTGTAGGTTACACAGGTCTCTTTATGGTCTAAAGCAATCTCCGAGAGTTTGGTTTGGCAGATTCAGCACTGTAGTACAACAATTTGGTATGGTCCGTAGTGAAGCTGACCATTCTGTCTTTTATCGTCACTCAGTCCAAGGGTGTATTTATCTTATTGTGTATGTAGATGATATTGTCATAACTGGTAGTGATGAGTCTGGAATACTCCAGTTGAAACAACATCTTTCAAATCAATTTCAGACAAAGGATCTTGGTAAACTCCAGTATTTTTTTGGGTATTGAGGTAGCCCTATCTAAAGATGGTTTGGTGATTTCTCAGCGGAAATATGCTATGGATATTTTGGAAGAAACAAATTTGTTGAACGCTAAACCAGTTGATACTCCTATGGATCCAAGTGTCAAACTACTACCCAATCAGGAGGAGCCTCTATCAGACTCGGGAAGGTATAGGAGATTGGTTGGAAAGTTGAATTATCTCACAGTCACTCGTCCAGACATTTCTTTTGCAGTCAGTGTGGTAAGTCAGTTCTTAAATTCCCCTTGTCAGGAACACATGGATGCTGTTATCCGGATTCTAAGATACATCAAATGTGCTCCAGGAAAAGGTTTAGTGTATGAAGATAAAGGACATACTCAGATAGTTGGATACTCTGATGCTGATTGGGCAGGGTCACCAATTGATAGACGATCCACCTCTGGGTACTGTGTACTTGTTGGAGGAAATCTTATATCCTGGAAAAGTAAGAAACAAAATGTAGTTGCAAGATCAAGCGCCGAGGCAGAGTATAGGGCCATGGCAATGGCAACATGTGAACTCATTTGGTTAAAACAGTTGCTCAAAGAACTTAAAATTGAAGAAGCAAGACCAATGACACTTGTATGTGATAATCAAGTTGCATTGCACATTGCTTCAAATCCAGTCTTCCATGAGAGGACCAAACATATTGAGATAGACTGTCACTTTGTCAGAGAGAAGATCGAATCCGGCGTCATCGTCACAAGCTTTGTCAACTCTAATGATCAATTGGCAGATGTGTTTACAAAATCTCTGCGAAGCCCCAGAACTAATTATATATGTGGCAAGCTTGGTGCATTTGACTTATATGCTCCAGCTTGAGGGGGAGTGTTGATATTTGTATGTAGAATAGTCCCACATCGATTATATAGTGTAATTAGTTGTAATCTCTCTATATATAATAAAGTCTCCGTAGTGCTTTCATAACACGCGGTTTAACCTAAATGTCTCTTAGTCTCTCCTAATTCAATAATGACAAATAGAAATAAGGAGACAAACAATGATAACTTAAAAAAGTAAAGATAAAATGAGGATTTCGGGAAGATTGAATACCTTATCTTAGAGCCATGGGAAAATCAGAATTTGTGTCGGGTGGCTCCGCTGTATGAGTAAAATGATTGAGCAAGACATGATTTTTGTGATTCTTCAAGTAATGTTGACCAGAAATTGATAATTGGCTAGAAAGAAAGAGTGCTAATAGCGATGAATAATCAAGTATTTCAAAGATAATTGATTATTGCAGTGAACTTGGGCTACCGATGTAGATCAAGGTGTGAAAATTAATTGTAGAAATTTTTGACACATTTTCCAAACTTAGTAAAGGTTGGCACAAACTCTAATCATTTTCCTCATTTCAACGTAATTTAAGATATTGGTGTAAACTTCATGTATTCATTTTCACAAAATTTTATTTTTTTAGTATAAGCATCACAAAATTGTAAGTCCTACTGATCTAAACCTTGCATTGCTTGGACTTGAGCTTGTCACTTTCATATTTTCTACAGTTTAAATTGTTTGTATTTCAAGTTTCAACTCTAGAATCATTAAATGCTGAGGGTGTGTTTATTGTGGGTCAGAGTCCTTGCTTACGATTGTCTGCTGACTCATTTATGCTGGCTATTCAGAGAAATTTGGATACTCCTAGTTATGTCTGCAAATTTTAGCTTTTTTGGACTTTTATGTAGATGTAGATGAGGACACCATAATGATCAATTAAATGATAATAATTTTTTGTTTAAATTGATTGGCTCATGTTAATTTCATAATGTTCGTTATTGATTTTATTTAAAATTCATGTTTTATATTAATTTTAATATATTTGTATTTGTATGAACTAATCTGGCAATACCGTGTCTGATAATTTTGTAAAGTATGTTGTATTCCCATCTTTTCCATGTAATGCGTCATGTTTATGTCTTTTAGTTGTATTTGGATTATAAACAAAAACTATAGTAAGTTGTAATCTTGATGATGGTTGCTTATGCAGTTTTCAATATACAAAGAAATCAGAGAAAGGTTTCCTGGACATTTATGGCTCGATGTTGTCTCCAAAGCAGATCTGTTGAAGACCTCTCCTATGATATATGCAACAGAAAATCGTGACCTCACACAACATGAGCTGGAGAAGTACCGTAAATCAGGTCCTGATGGAGCTATTAATGTGTCTGCGACAACGCAGGAAGGAGTACACGAGGTGAGAAAAATCTATACTAATATTTTGTAGAGTGAAATGCTTGGTATTATGTAAGAATACTAATTGAATAGTTTAAGAGACGACCAATGAAACAGAGGAATATCATACTGAGATCCAATTGAATAGTTTAACGGCGTCTCTTTTTAAGAGTTCAGTTTCCCGTCTTTTGCTCCGTTCTCAAGTCCCTGAACTTACAAAGTCTCGTTTCTGTAGTATATCAATTCGTTGATTTTGGGTTTTACTTTCGGTTTAGGACTATGAAAGTGTGGTCAAGAAAGATACTCTTGTAGGACTAGCGTTAACGTTTGTCTAGACTGGGACTGTAACTACATGATTTGATTTGTGCGATAATGGAGTAAGAGCTACATGTAGAAGCGATATTTTTTAGTAGTTTTTGTTGCAATCTCTAAAGAGATACCTCTTCTATATTGGTGATTAACTTTTTGCTTTTTGTATGAGTTGGCGAATAGGACCAAAGTTGATTAACTAGTTTGGTTATTGTTTTTATTGTTTGTAGCTGAAGCACAGAGTGAATGAGCTTCTCAACATGCAGATGGCCAAGATCAAATATGTAAGCAACAACCAAGAGAAGTGAAAGCTGTCTCTCTAATATTTATGAAGTTTTCTGGTCAAATTGGGAGGTTGAAATCTTCATTTGTAAAATAAGTTAAACTAGCCAAAGTGGTTTCAAGCTCCAGTACTGCAAACAAGGAATTAGGCATTGTGGAGGAAGTAAACTAAGGGTTACACTGAATTAGGCATTGTGCAGTGAGTGACATTTTATTTGCATATTGGTCAATCTGTTACAGCAATTTATTATGTTTATTATGTTAGTAAATTAGTTATTTTAATTATAGTTATTTTTTTATTTCTCTATTTTTATGTAATGATTATTATCTTAGTAAAATTAGTTACTATTTTCCTTATTTCTATTTTTATGAAAACGAATGAAATGAATATATTGATTCATAACAAATATTTTCTCTCTAAAATTCTCACTGTGCAACTTTAACTCAACCATCATAAACTATTACTTCTGGTGAGAGTTGTGATTACTATAAGATTAATCTCCCTAATAATCCAAATATACTTTTCATCAATTCACTACAAATGCATTTCAATTGGTATCAATGTGTCTCAATTGGTATCACTCTCTCATCTAGGCCATGACTAGTCTAGGGGTGTCATATGAGCATGTCCATTCCGCAAAGTCCACTAAAAATGAGGCGGGATAGAGCGGTCAATGTTATAGTTAAGGGTGTAAGTCTAAAACTTTGTCTTGTAGGTACTATATCTCTTACGCCTAAAAATTACAAAAATATATGTTTATGCTCGTGTGCGCAATAAGCCTGAAAAATGGGATTGATATATTAGATGATACATGCTTAAAATTTTGGTCCGTTCTAGTGGACCGGACTTGTTTTTCCATCCCTAATGACTACCACACGCTTCCAATTTGTCTTTGACATAAAAAAAAAGTTTAATAACCTTCATGCCGACCTTGAAAAAAGGTTGATAACTGTCACATTGAAGTACATCTCTAATTGGACCAATCGCTTAGATGAGTTATGTACCATGATTTTAACTCAATTCAGTGAGAAAACGATATGCGACGAAATTTTGGCAATCATCAACCAGAAGGTGGATTTTCCACGTTTCAATGGAAAAACACTCGCAATTGGCTCTATAAGAATGACTAATTTTTTCTCTTCAACACTACTCTGGCGAATTCCATGCTTTCTCTAGCGCCAATTCATCTTGATGACTTGGCTTTATAGTGGTGTATGAATCACATGCGCCAAAAATTCAATATTTATCCCACTTGGAAGCAATACGTCACTGATGTTACTGCTCGATTCAGTGATGCTTTTGAAGATTCATTGTCCTCTTTGTTGCATGTCAAACACTCCAATAAGAAAAAATATTATCAATTCGAATTAGCTTTAATCTAAGTTAATCTAATCCTTGAACACTCCTTTAACATATTCTTGACTGACTTAAAATATCACTCATAAATGCATGTTAGGCAGGATATTTAATCTAACATCAATTGCACACGTCAATCTGGCTAAACTCTCCCCAAACCCCTTCGCGTTATATGAATTTCTCTAAACCTTCCTGTCTCACAAAAACTCCAATTCAAACCCTAAACTCAATCATATAAACACAAATTTCATCCCTAACCCCACCAAACCTACCTTTTCTCGAACCAACAATACTTACACTAGAACATAATTGGTAGATCAGCGCGTCAAATGACTGTGTATATTTTGTGCTCAAATGTTTACCCCCACTCACCAACTAAAACACTGACTCACTCAATTAATGGTTATGGAACTTGAGGATAACAACTTTACGTTGACCTCGGAAAGCCCTATATCCACCTTGACTGAAACTAAGGATTCTACAACTCTTAACTTTCTCTTCAAGTTTTAACCGGAGTTTCTAATTATCAACCTATGTGTATTTGGGGTTTGCATGGTAAAAAATTGCTTCAAATTCTACTTTATAGTGTAAATACTCTCTCGAGCCTTATTTATAACCAAATTTTTTTAAATTTTTTCGGCTTTAAATATAAGAAATATAAATAAATATAAGTATATTTAGTGCCTTTATTCCAAAACTATGTTTACATTAATTACTAAATATTATTAATAAATGATAATTAATTAAGGGTAGATAGGTAATTGTGCTAGTTATTTTATATAAAATCAGAAATATTAAATAAACTTAACTATTATTCTTAATAAACATAAAAATTGTCTCTTTTTTTTTTACTTATAAATTAAGGCCAGAGTAGTACTCATAATTTCCTAGACTTGGATATCAAAAATAAGCTTGGGTGTAAATAGAAAATTATTCCACCCTTAGCTGTAACTAGAGTCTGCCTTTATTTGTTCAAATTTTAAATATGTGCTGCAACAAACTCAATTTACGACTGTTGTTATTGTGTTCCATTTGGTTTATTGCTACCTCATCCTTGGAATTCAATAGCTAAAAAAATCATTAGGTTCAATCATATGGAATTTTAAAAAGTTACAAATACAATTTAACATTCATGACATGAAGTTTGTCCTTCGTAAACCTAAGGACACCACGATTAAGAGATGATTGCATAAATATAACTTTTGTGTGTTTTTTGATGTGAAAACTGTTTGATTTAATTCAACAATTTGTTATTTTAGATCATAAATTGTACTATGTTGTTGATTGGTTATCAAATAAAGCTATTGTTTTTTCTTTGTTGGTCTGTAAAGTGATAATTGTTTTTTTTTTCTTTTTCTTTTTTCATTTGAGTTAGAAAATAAAATCAAACTTACAAGTCTTTTTCTTCTCTAGTTAATTTGATTCATAGTTGTTTAAAGGCATATCATTTTCAAGTATAGCTTCTTTTATGAGTTGCTTGTTGGATGTTGTTAGAACAATATGTTACATTTGTGGTAAGGTCCAGCTTCTTTTACAAAATAGTTGATTTTATGAAGCTTGACTTTAGCGTTGGTCAGACCCAAGTTAAATATAATTTGTTGACTTTTAAAGTTTGATTTTATTGTCAGTTAGGCTGAAGCTAACATATGTTGTTTTGAAATTTCACTTTAGCGTCGGTCAGACCCACGCTAAAAATAATATGTTGACTAACTTTAGTGTCGTCTAGGCCGAAGCTAACATATGTTGATTTTTAGTTTGACCATGCGTCAGTATGACCCACGCTAAAAACAATTTGTTAACTTTTGAAATTTGATTTTTTAGCGTTGATTTTAGGTTAGTGTCGACTTAGACTCAGTTTGCACGACTCTTTTTAGCTGTAGTTAAAATTTAACTTTCAACATTTTAGCTTCCTTTGACACCGACGCTAATGATAGATTCAACATTTTCCCTTTTAACGTCGAATTTTGAGTGAAGCTAAATGCTGTTATTCTAGTAGTGTTTTATGTCGACCTACTTTCTAGACGAATCATATTTTATGGGTCAATCTACTTTCTACACTAAGCATACTTTATGGACTGACCTGCCTTACGAACGAGGCACACTTTCTATGTCAACCCGCTTTCTAGACTGATCATACTTTACGGGTTAACCTGCCTTTTAAATTAGGCATACTTTTTGATCTGACATGTCTTCTAGACTGGAAACATATCATTGATAGTATTTTTTGGGTTACACCTTAAGGACAAGTTGGTTTTTCCATAATGGTGGAATGTAATGATTTATGCAATTTCTCTTTACACCCTTATACAATGAGGCACACGTCTGAAAACTCCAAAATACTCTTGGGTTTATTCAGAGATACATCTCTAAGCGCACTAAATACCATTTTTTACTAAAATTTAGTTCGAAGATGCATCTCTGAATAAACCCAAGGTAAATTCGCATATACATCTTCGAAAATACCTTTTCATTTAGAAGATTTTTTTAACCACTCAATGATATTTTTGGAGATACATCTCCTAAAATCTCCAGTGGAAAGTTGAATATATGACCGCCTTGCATGATCATCTTTCTCACTCTTCAAACTCCTTCCATAATCAAAAACCCTTGAAAAACAATTTCATTCTCAACCAACTTTTCGATTCCAAACCAGATTTCTTGCATTTTATCACATCAAATGGAGCAAAATAAGCTACAATTTGAGGTAAAGTTTCCTCATTTCATCCCTCATGGTTTGCATTAATCTTATATTTGAGTTGGTAAAATGTTTGATGTGTCATATACATCCGAACTCAGCTACCATAATTTTGGATGGGTATATATGAATTCTGTTGTTACTTGTTTTTAAGCAATTTCCTATTTTGGTTCTTATTAGATATGGCACACTCGTATATGTTTCCCAAAACTGCTGTAGTTAACGATTTAAAACATGATATAACAAAGGATAATGTGAAATCAAATAAAGTGAAGCATGATGTTAAACCGAAATAAGTGAAGGATGATGTTAAACCAGTTCTTGTCAAGATAGATGTTGGTCAATGCTTCATAAATGAACAACTGTTTACTGCTCGCGACATATGCTTCAATGGATCCGCGTGGTAACTAGGAATTTAGGGTTTGGCATTATAATCGGAAGGTCTGAAAATGGTTAAAATAGAAGAGAAGCATTTTTAACCATGAGAAGCGAGAGAAGTGACACGTATGTCCCCTCGATTTGGAAGTTGAAACGTGATGACACCAGAACGAGAAAATATGGTTGTCCGTTTAAATTTCATGGATATTGTAACATGGATGAGATGTGAAAATTTAATGTGATTTTTGAAATACATAGCCATGCATTGCAAACAAAGCTAGCCGGTCATCTCATCATATGTTGACTTAAAATAGATGAGAAGGAAATTGTTTCAAATATGTCTTTAATCAGAGTGGCACCGAAAACATACTTGCAGATTTGAAAGAGAAAAACCCAGAAAGTGTTTCAAATATCAAGCCAGAAAGTGTTTCAAATATCAAGCAGGTATACAATGCACGTCATCGAAACAACATAGCGATAAGGGATCCAAGATCCGAAATGCAATAACTTTTGAAACTTTTGGATGAAAACCACTATGTTTCTAGGTACACAGTTTGTGATGACAAAGTTACTGTTCATGACATATTCTGGACTCA